ACTTCCAAAAACATTCAGCTTTGATATTAATGAGTTTTTTGGGTTCATTGAGAACATGGTTGTTGTTCAATAATAACATTATTCCTCAAAAATACAACTTGCCTAATAATTCTGCACTCCCTGTAATTCCTGTTCCTTTTCCTGGCATGAGAAACAGCTGGAGCAAAGATGATTACCAGTAACTTCTATAGACGGTATTGCTGGCTCCATAGTTATTGATTAAAAAAAGTGTGGGGGTCAGGTAAGGGTAGCAGGAGGCACATTTCCAATTATGTTTAATTACTCATTAAAGATGGATAAGTACACCAGCTGGAAGATATGAACCAGGGCAAGTCTCCCACCCCAACCTGCAGAAATAACAGTTCACCACATTTGCTGTAAACCTTGATTTGGATTATATATTTTCTTTTTTCTTTATTGTGATAGTTTCATAATAAGCAGATTAAACACACTGAGACAGAAACTCAGAATACAGATTTATCTGCTGGTTCCCAAACTTCACAGTTTTAACTTCTTAAAAATAAGTTAACTGTAAATATTGGTTTAATTTTAAGCAATGATTGAAAAGTTATCAGCCATTAAAACATCTTATTTATATTTTCATTCACCTGAACAAGGATAAGCACTAAAATCAAAATGTACAAGTTATGTAATGACTACAGTGTTAAAGTTATGCATATACAATGACTGTGCAGTGACAGTACACCAGAATATGTTATGTATCAGCCATATTTATAGTGCTGGGGGTTACATGTGGGTGGCTTTGTAATAACTACAGCAGTATCTCTCCTGGTGGCTGAACAGTATAGGAAGAACAACTCTTTGCAGTCTTTTCCTGCTGCCCTATAGTAATTAGCATCCCAAGGCTCTGATACTTTTGCAACATCCCGTGATAGAGCATATCTGCTATATGTCATGCCTGAGCATTACTAGTGCTAAAGCTCACTAAAACATGTAAAAGAGGCTTAAAGAAAGAAAGAAACTGACCTGTGGTCTGATCCTCATCATGTCCTCATGGCAAGCATGCTTGGTTGTATACTACACTCTGATGGGCTCGCACTGTTCTCCTCATTCTGCTATTCTCAGCTCTGTTGGCACCT